ACTTTTTCAGTAGGTAGGAAACTATGAATTTTGCCCGGGTGGCAGCCGAAACCTACTCTTATCGATTTTAGACCATCACGGGATCTTTAACGTGTGCAACTTGCGCAGGGACCCTCCGAGATTTTTCACCCTTGTCCGAGAAGGCTAGATGTAGATCTTTCCTACCAGAAGATCAGGGGTGTGGCTGAAAGACAGCAGTAAGGAGGAGCCAAGGAGTAGCAGTAGAAAGGCTGCAGAAAGAGCCAGGAGCCCAGAGAAGGGGGCAAAGGAGGTGAGGGGTGGGGGCAGAAAGTGGAGACGAAAGCAGACGACAGAACATTGCTAGAGAGCATGAAAGGAGGTGAAAGGAGACAATTTTAGAGAATAAAATTTTTCCGTTGCTATCCGGATTCGAACCCGGGACGTTTGAATGAGAGGCAAACACCTTAACCTCTAGACCACGAGAGCCCCCGCCCTGGCACGTAGCCCGCCTCCTAGATTAAGATAACTGGACAAACTGAAAGTAGCAAAACAAACGTGTATATATATATATAGCACATACACATGATGAAGAAAGATGTGGATTTTCACATCATTTGTGACCAGTTACGCAAATATTGCAAATAAACCGGTGTATTTCCTCGTCATTTACAAAAAGTTGCATACAACTTACAGAAACAGAATTTTAGAAAAAAAAATCATACAGATACGATCAAGGTTCTTCAACGTGCAAAAATAAATTGGAGGGCTCCGGTTTTAAGAAAGGACTTGACAGGTTTAAAGCATCCATGCATGCCGTGGTTCAAATGATTGTGCCCACTCTTGAGATTAGAAGTGTATTAGTTTTAGTAAGAGTTTTATGGCACTCGCGACACAATAAGGTCATATAAGTGCCGAAGATTAGAGGATTACAAGAGGGTAACAAACACAAAAAGGAATGAGGAGAGATAATGACGATAGATGTTCGATAGGAAAGAAGGAGCAAACCACACCAGAGAACCCGCCAACCGCCCACTGAAACTGTTTACTTTCTCCCATGGAGTTAGCGTGGGGTTTTGTGGGAAAAGTTGGACGGTCAAACTTACGCGTGCGGAACATCGTCATTTGCTTGCCAGGGGAGAGAATCTCTGACTCCTGCATCCGGATCTTTCCGGGGATGTCGATGTCAAAGAGGTGAACCTGGACAAAAAAAAAACCAAGAAAAAAAAACACGTTTCGTTATAGTAAGAGTTTTACGGCACTTACAACGTTATATAAGTTGGGGTTTTTTAGTAGAGGGTTTTACGGCGCTTGCAACTGCATAAGGTCACAAAAGTGCCGAAGATTAGCGGTGTTACAATAGAGTAACAAACACAAAAAAGAAAGAGGAGAGATAAATACGATAGATGTTTGATAGGATAGGAGAAGCAAACCACACCAGAGCACTCACCAACCACCCACTACTATTAGTACGCACAAGAGCCGAAGATTAGAGGCCCTACAAGAGAGTAACAAACACAAATAAAAGAAAAAGAAGAGATAAGTAAGGACGATAGACGTTTGATGTTGTTGTTGTTGTTTTCAAATCCCTTTAGCTGCGAGCATTTCGCTCTTGGCAGCGCAATGCCTCCCTCAAGTAACCACATGTCCTTGTCATCTGGTCAACGCCAGAGTAGAACAGCTTTGTATAGACGTTTGATAGATAGTACAGAAGGAGCAAACCACACCAGAGCACCCGCCACCCACCCACAAAACACTGTGGCGAGCCCACCTTTCTGTGCATGGCCACCATCTCTCCTTCGGGGTTGAAAATGGCGCTTGAGTTGTAAATTTTGTCTCCGCATTTCTCTGGAATGGAACCTGAAAAAAACATCAAGACATGAGATCGGAGCAAGTCGGAGACTTAACTCTTTTGTTTAAAACGTGAGATTTTCCCACCGCTTCCCAGAGTTTTTTTCTGCGGTCACCTAAACCTGGCGCACCATGTCTCATTATAGCCCCAAAAGTTTGCCTCCAGCTTCTAAATAGCGGAAATAAAGGGGCTTAGTAATTACTTTGAAAAACTTGGTTCGAGAATAGTTCCGAAACACAAGCAAAAACTAGCACTAAATGTGAGGCAGCGCGGTGAAATCAGGCGCTCGTCAAAATAATGAAATTGGAAAAACAGGCACTTTTCCGCCAGTTTGTAAATTTTCATTGATAATTTTTGTTTGTTGGCTTAACCTCTTTGATGCCCATCTAAAACATTTCCACGTAAATTTTACAGAAAAACTTTGATTAAAGGCACAAAATACAACACTTTTCAGTTTTCAACGACTCTTCAGCTATTGGAGTTACTAAACTTTGGCCGCCATTTTCTCGCTAATTTTACCACTGAAACAAGGCGACCTCACTTCCTTCAATCACAAATATCTCGAGTTCTATTCAAGATAAACGGATACTTATTTGATTAGAAGCAAGGCAAATAAATCAGTTTTCAGATGATAACAGTAACTCCACATGTCCAAACATTGACGAGCGCCTGATTCCACCGCGTCGTGACATTACTACAACGAAACTGCTGTCACTACTGTCGGACGCTCCCCATGTCCAATGGGGCATAAAGAGTTAAACCCCCGGGGCGGTGCCACTGACTGTAGTGTCTTTAGGCCATTCCCAAAGGGGGGACATTTCTCGTTCAAGCATAGAATTGTAAATGGGCTGACTCATGTCACGCTCAAAACTGTGCCTGATCTAATACAGGGAACTGCTTCTTTCCTCATCCTCACTGTCTTTAGGCCATTCCCAAAGGGGCGATATTAACACGTTCTTATGCACAGTAGAATCGTAAATGGGCTGATTTATCAATGCCATGATCATTCTGTGCTGGAACAACATAGGGCGAACTGCTGCTTTTTCTTTCCTCATCCTTACTATTGTCATTTTCCTCTACTTCTTTAGTATGTTTGTCACACTCTTGTGAACTGCTATTTCCGGGGTGCCTTGATAGTCGAAGCAGACTTTGTGCTGTTGAGGCTAGAGAGGTGAGCAGAGTAAGTCTGATTCCCTGTAAGGACTTCTCTGTTGACATCCACCCCTTGGCGCTCATATGACCTTATGCAGTTGGGGGGGGGGGGGGGGAGGGGAGGGGTTGTGCGAGTTGTCAGCCTAGTTTCTGGACAGTAGACGGATCATTTTAGATGGAGGGCAGTTCTGTTTTATCTCGCCTCTCAACTTAAGGAAGGTCGGACACCGATAAAAAAAAAATATAACAAGATGCCAAATTTTTAAAAAAGAAAAAAAAACCCTTCAAAAAAGAAAAGTTCCTGCGACCAGAAACACTTTGTTCTCTTTGGTAGCAGCAGCCATAGCATTTGACGATGGTCCTGGGATGGGTTCAGCGTACTTCGGGAAGTATTTCATGCCAACAACAACAACAACAACAACAACATTATTTCATACTTATAAATTGTATAAACTTCACCTATAAGCGTGACATATATCTATTTCCTTAACATTTTGCCATCATCATCATCGTCCAGTGCCTTGCCGATTGGCGTGGGCGATCATGGACCTCCACTTCACTCTGTCTTGCGTTGCAGCGATGGTGTCTGTTGTTCTTGCTGTTCCCAGCCATGTTGTCATCTTGTCCAGTATCTTTTCCTTCTGTCAGCCTCTGCCTCTCTTTCCATCAAACTTTCCTGTTGTTACAATATTCTCCATTGCTTCTTTCCGCATTGTGAGTCCGAAGAAATTTGCCTGTCGCTTTCTTATATTCGTCATAAGCTGTCTTCTACAATTTGCTTCCCCCATTTACTTTGCCATCACAAGGCTCCTACAGTAAAAACCCTTGCCATCAAAGGCAAAGGCATTTTGGGGAAAATCCATAGAAACTGGGCGGCAAACATGGCCAATCGGCGAAATGTGACGGCAAAGTGTTGAGGCTTGAATCCGAGAAGTAACTCATTTTGTCAGCACACTTCACAAATGTTCCCCTAAAGTTTATATGGCTTCATGCAGTATTTCAATACTCACATTAATCAGCACGAGACACACATTAATCAGCATCAGACACACATTAATCAGCACGAGACACACATTAATCAGCATCAGACACACATTAATCAGCACCAGACACACATTAATCAGCACGAGACACACATTAATCAGCACGAGACACACATTAATCAGCACGAGACACACATTAATCAGCATCAGACACACATTAATCAGCACGAGACACACATTAATCAGCATCAGACACACATTAATCAGCATCAGACACACATTAATCAGCACCAGACACACATTAATCAGCACGAGACACACATTAATCAGCATCACACACACATTAATCAGCATCAGACACACATTAATCAGCATCAGACACACAAAAAAAAACCCAAAAAACGAAGATGCCAATTTTCTTTTTAAAGTGTGATGTCAAGGGACATGACTCTTATCTTAACAATGGCGACAAGATAATTAAGGGAGTAGCACGCCCTTGAATGACGTGACATTGAGCTGCGGGAAATAAGCTGACGTCGTCTGAGAGACACTGACGGAGAGATTCAGTCGGAGACAGGACGAGATACCGACAACACCGATCCTAGTCCTAGACGGGGGCCCCCTCACAGACACGACTCATCCGACCGCAAGTTAACTTTACAAAAAAGAAAGAAAAAAAGAAACGTACCTGCGACCAGAAACACTTTGTTCTCTTTGGCAGCGGCGGCCATAGCCTCTGACGATGGTCCTGGGATGGGTTCAGCGTACTCTGGGAAGTATTTGGTGCCGTACGGAGAGTTGAAGCACTCCTGTGTCAGCGACAGAACAGACGACCTTCACATTTTGTTCATTAAAAAAAATGTTTAATTATTACAGGAACGCCACTCAACTTTTTTATAAATAGCTGAAAATCCAGGTGCCACGGTCTCACTAACATATGAATACATCAATTTGAAACCCAAAGGCTGTACATAGAGACAAATGACAAACAAACAAACCCAAAGGCTGTACATAGAGACAAATGACAAACAAACAAACCCAAAGGCTGTACATAG